TGATTGTAAATCTTAATGGGGGAGAGTGAAACGGGGTTACACGTACCCTGGTAACAAAGGTGTGTGCCACACGAGATAGGCATGGTGTGACTGCACCCAAATAAGAATACGGTATGTGGCTGGGTAGCCAGTAGTTACGCATGTATTTAGATTTTCCATATATATTTAGGAAAATCTATACATTTAAATCAGGCGGCTTGGCCGCAGATAAAAATAAAGTCAGTTTTTGGAGTTTAAACCGAAGAGTTGATCAGCCTTGGGTTAAGGCAACAATTACTCTTGGAGTAAGCGGATTGCAATCCGCTAAACTTGTACTTGTTCTAAGTATAGAACGAAAGGTCGGTGACCTAGGTTACGCTTCCTCAAAGCGCAAAGCTACGGCAGCCCCGCTGCATCCAGGCTCTGAAAGGCAGAGAAGAAAAACCTCCCAAAATGAATAAAGAAAGCTGATCACGGCCGTGCTCTAAATGAAGCGACAGCGCTTTGCGGTAACGGTCAACTAGCCACGATGCCGCGCATAAGACTGGGAACTAATTAGCACTTTCCTGGTTATAAAACGTCTCCTTCGATGTGGGACTATGTGTAGTCAAAGATGTCGCAATATTCCTCATCGCCTAAACAGGAGTAATACGTGTATGTAAAATTTCTCCTCACACGTCAAGAGAGACACGACTGGCGGACCATGTAGGAGTTAAGACATCTCATCACGACAAAGAAGTATGACCCTCTCACCAAGCGGAAACGCTCGCCGACGTCATGAAGGTCATCGAACGGGATCGACGTCCGTCGCCATCTCCCGTGTGCTTATCCGATATCACCTCATGAATAGAGGTCACTTTATGCAATGAAGATTACAGCTTCTGTGAGGATGATGTGCAGGGAATATAATTTATCCGTGAATTTCAGTCAAATTATCGCGTAAAACCCTTTTACCAATCACAGTATGATATTAAGAGCTTGAGCATCATACCATGAATGGTTGATGGCGGATCTTGAACTTTGCATAAATGGGAGGAGCACATATGCTAGATGAGGTTTCGTTGTCCTGGAATATCTTCGCCACCCATGTCAGACAAATCTCTTTCAATTAATGGCGTTGTGTCAAAAGGGGGTCGCAGTAGTTGCACTGCAGTCAAGTAACTTACTTCTGTCACCAGTTTAGGTATTTACATGTACAAACTGGCACGACCGACGCGGGGATGAATCCCAGCCATGTTGATGAGAGAAAATAGAGGCATTAGCACCTGAGAAGCTTCGCGGTAACCGCACATATTTCGTCTTCGGTAGTACAAACATACGTGCTTCGTGTGCCTCCTTCGCTATCAGCGAAAGATTGCAAAAGATCGGACTTTCACACAAAGGTGTACAACGAACCCCTGGCCGGGATGATGGGCAGCCTGCATAACAAACCGGGCTCTACGGTTCCTTGTGGGGTTGTGGTCAATGAAATACAGCACAAAAAAGCGACTCTCCTCGGCTTAGATGGAGCCTAGAATTTTTAGTTGTTGATATCAACGTTCTGGTTATATATCAGCAAACACGATCCGTCACTTGCCGCTAGCCTCTCTGACGCCATAAGGAGGCGTTGAGTGGGGTGGTTTACGATCTCACCATTTTCATCTTCTGCTTCGCGCGAAAGAAAGTGCCAATGACGTCATATTATTACTTTGGCTAGATACATTGTTGTACGACGCAATATCTGGTTCCGCAAATCAAATTGACACCATGCAGCCCTTCCTGATCGAATAGCACGCGTGGTGGTCTCGTCGCCACGCCGCGATATTCATTTTACAAAGGTTAGAAGCGGTCCGAAGAATTCTTGAAATGAGCATTGTTGCTCCTTGCACTCAATTATTTGTAAGTGTCCTTGATTTTAGCTTCATCTATAAAGAAGTGGAGAATTCTATCGAGATAGGATATAAATGATGTTAACGGGACCGCCATTAGGTTTGCAAGTCTTCCCTTATTAAATTCCGATAGAGCTATAATACTTTTCTCGGGGATGTACAAACATTGAAAGGCGGTAAGGTCACCGAAATGGTACGTATGAGAGGCTGATCTCGTCAGAGCCCAAGTGCTGACTTAGTAGTACAGTGACATCGTAACAAACATAAACCATCTTCAGGGTCAAGTCGTTTTACTCAAACGTTTATGTCGCCCTTCAACTTCATCGGCTCTGTCACACGAGATTGCGGAATCGTCACTCTTCATCGTACTTGGCACAGGACACAACAGCTCATCATCAGCTCGATCATCTACCAGAGGTAGAGTAGGATCGGCAGATCCACTCATTTTCTGTACTGTCAGCCGGTACCACAAGACACAGTCAATCTTTCTTGTCTCAACAGAGGAGGCTTCAGTTTTTAGCCATTCCCCATTGTCGCAGATAATGTAGTCTTTTGTTCAAGGCTGCGTTTTGTTTGGTACGTGCTAATGTTTGGTCAAAATTCCTGGTCTGTATTAAATTTTTGAAACGACATCAGTGCACCATCCATCAACACGGAGGAACGACTGTGAGACGCGATGCAGTCATTTGTCCGATTGATACATGCGTGGCTCATTACTATATAGGAAATGAGGTACATCTTAGAAATGGTGTGATCATATATTAATAATAATACTTCTAGTCAGTGAGTTCTATTTCGATACAAAGGCCGACCTCATGTTAACTGTACACTTTGGTACTCTTTGGATTTAAACCAATCGAGAAGCAAGCCACTAATCCTCGCCTTCTTGTCAAAGACGAAAAGTCTGCGGAAGAGAATCAACTGAGTTGTCGTTAGCTCAGATCGCGATCTGCTAGCAACTCGACGTCGCAAGCATCTTCATCGTATTACGTCAACCACATTTAAATTACTTATATATAGGCGCTGTGAAGAATCAAGAGCAAGCAAAACCGACGTAACAACGGGCTTTGAACATGTCCACCCCTAACACTGAGGATGACGGCGTTCTGCGCTTCAGACGCGAGTCTGCAGACGCCCGCGACGTCATGCGCAACTACGAGCGCTCACTGACTGAGGCGGCACTTTCTCCTCTATCCGGAGTCACACGCAACCCGAGAAATGTTGCTCATAGCGTGGCCATGCGCTCGATCAATGCGGCAAATGGTGGAGGTACCATTACCCGTCATATGTCACCCCAAGCTGTCCACCACTCGCCACATGCCTTTGCAGACGTACCACCTGTTGATCTGATGATGTTTTCCCCACGTCGACGTGCACTTAGCGCTCACAAACAGTCGCTTGAAGTAGCCAGTGTCCGGGTGAATGTAGAAGACGAGAATGAAGGGAAAGCTGAAGAAAGAGTTGGTGAAATAGATACACTTCAGCCAAACGAGCGAAGACTAGATGAAGATGGATTTGCTCTGTCGGGAACACGGCAAAGTAAGGTACACTCCGAGAAGCTCCCACTGATCAAGGAATTAGAAACAAAAGACACAAATGATCCGGACGAAAGTGAAGGCTGTCTGATCTGTATGGATGAATTCTCTGCCCGACGTAAGGCTTATCCACTTCCCTGCACTGGTCAATGTACAGGTGCATATGTGCACTACCGATGCATAATGGCCTGGCTAGGCCAATCCGGTAGCTGTCCTCTCTGTCGCGGAGCTTGTGACCCACTAGTGCTACAGCCATTGCAAAAGCTTGAGCTTCAAGATATGACTAAAATGGCATTGCAGCCAGTTCCTCTGGATGCAGGGATCATTCGATGCTACGTCAAGCAAGTATATCGTGGTATGTTCAAGCAGTACGGCTACGAAATGTATCTTCAGGGTCAGATTGGTACACAAGAAGAAGATAGGTTCTTGCTGGCGGCCAGACGTCAGGTACGCTCTAATATGACTGCAAATTACACAATCTCCACAGACAAGGAGTGCACCGATGTAAATCGAATCGGTCGCATGGGTTCGAATTTTCTTGGCACGTGCTTCACACTCTACGACAATGGACGAGACCCTCAGAAATTGGCAAAGATTCAAGATGCAGTGAGTTCAAACGACGTGGTGGTACAAAATGTGCTTCAGATTCGAGAGGAGCTTGGCTGTGTCACGTACGAGCCGAATCGTACGAGTGTGGGTCCACGAAAGATGAGGGTAGTAATTCCTGACGTGGACGAGGACGGTAGATCTTCTAAGATTGTACGACCAATGAGTCGTCAAGATCGACTCGCCACGCGACTTTCTACTGGAGAAATGAGGGATTTAATGCGCTTCTCAAATCGTGAACCTGTCTTTCGAGAAGATCTTGGTGCCTACTGCTTGGATTTTGGTGGTCGGGTGTCAATGGCTTCTGTGAAGAACTTTCAGCTTATCAGTAATGAGGATCCTTCAATGGGCAACATACTTCAGTTTGGTCGTGTCGCTGATGACATGTTTACAATGGACTTTCAATGGCCGCTCTCACCTTTCCAAGCGTTCGCTATATGCCTCAGCAGTTGCGATACCAAGCTGGCGTGCGTTTAACTCGTACCTTCTCCGTAGAACTAGCTGCGTCAAAGAAATGTTATATATAATGAACCTCTTAGCTGTTTATTTCATTGGTTATAATTTTTATTATTATTTTGCTTAATTTCAATGTGTCTTATTGGTCAAAACAAAGTTTCACATGACTGTGCTGCTACCCTCCTTCATCGCCAATGGCAACTGGTTCCTACTAGCTTCGATTGTATCTGTAGCCGCTCTTAGTGCGTTAGTACACCCTCAGTGGCGCCTTCATTTTGGTGACGTATCGCGACGGAGCACCAGGCGTTTTTTTTTACTCTGGGGATTGCTTATATCGACAGCAATACTTGTGGTATTAAGTCTAGCGCTCGAAGTGTATCACTCACGCGGCTGTCCAAATAGCGTCGTGTTTCACCATGAGACTGAGAGCTTAGCACGTTTCGTGTATAAGTTATGCACGCAAGCTAAATTGCAGTATTGGGTGGCATTTGGCAACCTTTTGTTTGTTATGCGCGGCCAAAGCAGTATACCTGTTGGAGACACTGACTCGGACATTGGCGTAGTTAAGGCTGAGTTCATGCAGCATTATGGTAGCGTTAGTAATTTCTCGACGGTTATACAACACGAGGCTTATGCGCAACTTCGAAAATCTGTTCATGTCGTTTACCACATGGAACGGGAACTTGTCCAAATTTACTTAAATGAATCGGCAAAGGGCTCACATGCTGACATTTGGTTGTATCGAGAAGAACGTGATGAACAAACTGGCAAAGAGTGGCTAGTTAATGATGATCGCACGATTAGAGGAAAGAAATTATTGCGCGACCAAGTTGTACCAGTACGACAGGAGCCAGCGTCTTTCTTAGATGTGCCAGTGACCGTGCCGAGAAATGCAAGTTACGTGGCAAGAGCCGAGTATGGAAGTGATTACATGATACCAATCACTATGAGATTGGAGTGCATCGAAAACATAGTCAACGGATACACATTTTATAAATCATCGTTTGGCATGAAAGCTCGTTACGTGACTATGATCGTAGTGATGGTAGCAGCGATAACTTTGCTAGCAGCAAATTATATCCCACCTCTGAGTAAAGCATTGCACAGGAAGAAAGAACGTTCGATAAAAGGTGACTTTGGTTTGATAGATGCAGCAGGATGGAGATCGGACAAAGACTTTGCCTAAATACACAAATAAATAGTTGTTGTCATGATATTGAGGTTGTCTGCAATAATAACGTCAATCCTTTTATCATGTTTTTGGCTCTGCTCTTTTCTTGACAGATTTTACTCGTTGGTAGCATTCACAAGAGGTGGAATGGCAGGAGGATCTTGAAGGAGTAGCTTTTGTACATCAAGCCACTCCATCGCCTCAAACTCCTCGTTGTGAATAAGACTGCCAACTTCCATACGATCCAGGTACATGACGCCGTTAAGATGGTCCAACTCATGTTGAAATATACGAGCAGGAAAGTCATTCAAAGTTTTCTGAATTTTGCGGCCTTTTAAATCATCGTACTGTACTCGAATCATGTTGGCACGTCGAACAATACCTTGATAGCCAGGAACACTCAGACAGCCCTCAAAGTCACGCGTGGTTGCTTCTGACAAATGCAAAATTTTGGGGTTTATTATCTCTTGATATTTAATTTTGTCGAGATCGTTTTCATTCTCGGGCATGTTCTTTATCATTAAAAACATACGCAGGTTGTGTGCAAGTTGAGGTGCTGCAATCCCCACGCCAGCCTCTACGCGCTGAGATTCGATAAGTACCGCTGATTCTTACTCATAACAAATCAATGAACTTACAACTTCTTTTTCCAATTCTTCAAATAGTCTTCGAACAGCGGGAGCACGCACATCAGCCACAGACTTTGACACTCTGCGTAACGCTAGAAATAGATTTTAATATGATGACAAAGAGAAAGGAAAGGTCAAAGAGAATAGTGATAGCATTTATAGCTATTTGCTTCAACTTAAGACTGAAGTTAACGCATAGAAGACGTACCAGAGTTTCCAAGAAATACAAGTGTCATCGTCTCCTATAAAATGCAGCATTGAAAAGTAATATTTGTATAACTTTGGAAAAAATTTAACTTAACAATTGTAGAAATGAACGAAAGCGTCCAAGATGCAGCGACGGGTGCTCCACTTGCCGCACATTTTGCAACTAAGCGACGCTTAATGGCCACTGTCAAACAAATGGAAGAGAGAGGCGAGAAGATAGAGGAAGCCACACCCGAAGAAGTTCTTGAAGCGGTGAGTAAGGCAGCGGAAACCGTGTTTAAGTTTGATTTTACAATTGAAGATGGTACGACGAGCGTCAGTAAACGGAATCGAAAGCGCAGTATGAAGCGACGAGGCAAGAAAAAGAAAAATGGTGCAGAAGATGGAGACAGTATGGCTACGCTGACAAAGTCACCACCACGATCGGGAAGTACAAAGCAATGCAGTCAACAGGCACCGAAGCAATCGTCAATAGATGAGCCCAATAGCAAAATAAGACAATCATCCTCGATTGTAAGGCTCCGTAAAGCAACAAGTACTGACTCTGAAATGACTAAGATGCATCTACGCTACGGCCAAGGTCGTCGCAATCTTGCAGCAATAAAGCAACGCGAACAGCGCAAGAAGGCCGCAATAGAAAATCACTCGTTCAAAGAAACAGTGAGCAGTACTTTCAAGTTTAATTTCGTTGCCACATCGTAGAGACAAGTCCACTTTGTACAGATTGTGCAGCTGTTCGTTATAGAGTTTTTGTAATATTGACGTATGCTTTTGCACATCTGTGAAAAGCATGGAGATCACATGAGCGATAATCGATTGTTATACTACCATTTTCAGTTCTGTAGTTTCTGACGCTAATAACGTATCGAGTCGCGTAGACCTTCTAACTTTAAATCAAGGCTATATTTGGTGTCTGCCAAGGTAATTTTACTTCATACTACTTCGTCAATCAGTCATAACCTTGTCTTCTTGTCTCTCGTTGCCTGTTCTGTGCAGTCGAAGTTTTCATTCCTACTAGAATTTTAACGCAAGGAGACGAAGTCAAAAACTTGTCAAACCGACAAATATATAATGGGTTGTCGTCAATCTAAAGCTGATTCTGTAATAGGCTCCACTGCTGTCTCCTCACAGCGAGATACAGGTTTGAGTATGCGTGACGACTTGACCTCAGACCTCATTCAGCACATGTATGTCGACGACATTAATGAGTACTTTGACTTTAGCATCACAATTGGCACGGGCCACTTTGGCTGCGTCAAACATGCTGTAAGCAAAAAGTCTGGTAAAGACTGGGCCGTGAAAATTGTCGCTCTTAGTAACGAGGTGGACCGAAACGCACTGCGCAATGAGATTAATATTCTCAAACGGCTGCATCATCCTCAAATTGTTCGTGTCATTGCTTCGTATGAAGATAAGGAACATATGTACATGGTCATGCAGCTTTGTAAGGGAAAAGAATTGTACGAGCATTTGTACCAAGGAAATCGCACAATTTCAGAAAATGACGTGCGAAAGATTATTCGTGCATTGTTACGAGCGTTGGCGTTCTTGCACTCAAATTTTATCACGCATCGCGACTTAAAGCTTGAAAATTTGTTGCTTGAAAATGCTGATAATCCGGGATCGCTTCGTTTGTGCGATTTTGGTTTGAGTGCACGTTTCAAGCGAGGCGAGAAGCTTGAAAAGCCAATGGGTACAATTGATTATGTCGCTCCGGAGGTGCTGGATGGAAATTACAACGAAAAGTGTGATCTATGGAGTGTTGGCGTCATATGCTATGAGCTTTTGACGGGAGTGTCTCCATTTCACGGAGCAACGGTTGACGAAACAATGGGCAAAATATATGATGGTGTGCTTGTGTTTGAGAATGACGTCTGGTCAAAATTTTCGGCCTCTTCAATTCTTTTTGTTAAGTCGTTGGTGAAGGAGAATGTCGACCAGCGTCTTTCAGCTGAGCAGGCGCTGAGCCACAAATGGCTCCATGAAGGAGATATGGGAAGTGCGGACGGATTGGGTGCTGCTCGACTTCAGAGTAACAAGTGCATGTTACTGTCAAACATGTTAAACTTTAGTCAATGTCGAAAATTAAAGCAAACGGCATTGCTTTCGGTAGCTCTTGGAATTTCAGAGGATCACATTCAACAGGAAATGGCTGCTGAAGTCTTTCACTCAATCGACAGTAGGAAAAAAGGGTCATTGTCACGTGATGAGTTTTGTACTGCTTTGGTCGAATGTGGAGTGTCTTATGCTGATGCAGGTGACCTGTTCACGCGAATAAATCAGTCGAAAAGTGGTCACATCAACTATTTAGAATTCTTGGCGGCTGTCATGGACCAGCGCGACATTGGACAAAGCACAATTCGCGAGGCATTTGGAATTCTTGACGGTGAAAAACAGGGCCGTCTGTCACTTGTGGGGTTGCAAGATTTGTTTAAACATTCGATGGTCGCCGAGGAGGTTAAGGAAATGATTGCGTCTGTCGATACCAACGGCGATGGATACGTCGATTTTGAGGCATTTCAGGGTCTTTTCACAGCATCACTGCCCAATGTTGCAGAAGACGATGCGCCTACGACTACCAGTACCGTGTTTGGCGATGCTGGCAGTCCCGAGAAATTGATGGTAACGGCGACTGAAAGTACTGCGGATAGTGCGATTGATACATTAACTCCGTTTTCAACATCAAGCTCGGTTGGCAACACATCTACGTCCGAAATCGCAGTTGAGATTGAAAACGTCAAGACAGCATTCACGAACCAGAACGACGTTAATGTCGTATTAGTAAAGATCTAAGCAAAGTAAGTGGCTCTATGATGTAAATGTGTTGAGCCACTGTAGTTCATCAGCTCAGAAGAAATAGCTCTATTCGTCATTCAGTACAAATGATGCAGAGATGTAGAAAGAGGCTACCCCAAGGTTTTCCGTATTAAATTTATTCTGCAAGTTACTACTACTTGCTTAGTGTTTCCATAACACTCGGAATATGTGGTGGATATAACTTGGATACGACCATCTGGCGGTACAGAATGTCCGCTTGTTCACGTGCAAAGGCAAGCATCTTCTCCTGCTCCGAACTGTCAATTTGAATCGTTTTATGCTTGCGGAAATCTTCCTTTACGCGGCGTGTGGCGTAGGCTCGGAAGTTGTAAGTCTGTAGTAAATTGCGCTCTATATCAGACATTATGAAATGTAAACGACAAGTTATATTGCATTTACCTCAAGCTTGGCTGCGCTGCGCAGCATCTCGCGGTAGAGCCGCAACACCGACGACGAGGACGCCATAGAAATTTAATAGTCAAATGGTACTCATAATACGCAACATTCGTACAACATACTTTTGATACACTTAAAACGAAAAATCAAATTAAATGGACATTGATGATAGTTACACGTTGCTTTGCTACCCTCTGCTAGACAAAGAAAGCTCGATAGTGATGTTTACTTCTGACTTTCGGTATTGTCGTCGTCTTCATCATCGTCTAAGGAGCCGAGCTTGCTATTGTATGGGTTTGGATATGGACACAAAAGCTTGGGATCGTCAAGATCTTGCTGCTCGGGATTGTCCGACGAGTCCTTTGTGCACTTGCCGTACGTGTAATTAAGACGGACGCAAGTGCTTTTGGCGCATGGATACATGCTCGGATCAATACAATTGTTAAATGCACATTGCATGCCGAGGGGAGTCACGTAAAACTTGTCATGCACGCGCACTCTGAGATGGGCCTCCTGCTCTGCAAGTACGATAACTATGGCAGCAATGGCAATGGCGGCGGCGATTAATGTCTGAAGAATCTGCATATTTATCGACCGAGGTACTGTGAGAGAATTCTAGCTGATTCGGAAGTGATGGAGAGGATCTTTCTGACATTTGATTTATAAGTCCATGTTCCTTATTGGACAGAGGCGAGGTACTGATATAATACAGTAAACAATCAGAATGTTCGAATTTTTTTTATTTGAAAACACTCATTCTTTGTTTGGTTAGAAATTTAGATAGAATTTAAATTTTATGGGTTGAAAGACCGACCCACATTGCAAAATTGATATTTTTGGGACTTTTATGGGTTTTTCTAAAAATTCTTCACAAAATCGAAAAAAGATGTTGTGACTTAGGTTGAAAACTGGGCAGAGTGTGCACGATGAAGAATGAGCACGACGGTCGGTAACTAGATGTCAGAACGTTTTATCTTTGATTTTCTTTGTTGCAAAGAAAATCGGAAGCACGTTGAAACAGTTTGCGGGAAGTGCTTTAGAAAATAATGTGTAGTGATACTCGAAATAGCACTTAATTCTCATCTGCTGATATGTACTGTGTTGATACAGATTTTAGTCAAGTAAGTACATTTGGCCGATGGCTTGTTTCAGCTGTGCAGTTTTGAACCTCTTTGGAAATGCTGGCGGTTATTTAGCTCCCCACTTCATTGTACTAGAGTGTCTGTAGCGGGGTTACACATACCCTGGTAACAGGGGAGTGTGTCACACCAGATGGGCCTGGTGTGATTACACCCAAACAAGAATAAGATTTTACTTTACATCTTCGGTAAAATCTATGCATTTAAAATTAGGCGGCTTTGCCGCAGATAAAAATAAATAAAGTCAGTTTGGGTTTAAACGAAAGAGTTAATTAGCATTGGGTTAAGGTTGTAATTACTCTTGGAGTAAGCGAATTGCGATCCGCAAAACTCGTACTTGGTCTAAGTATAGAGCTAAAGGTCAGTGACCTGAATTACGCTTCCTCTAAGCGCAAAGCTACGGCAGCCCCGCTGCACTTGGT